AAACAGCGTCCCATCCAAAACTCGCCCTTCCATATCATTGTTCAATTTTATCCAACACCCCCAGCCATCAATTTACCACCATGAGCTCTTCCCCCAGCCATCCGACCACCACCACGAGCACTACCCCCCGTGAAACCCCCGGAAGCCCCGCCAACAATTACGTTGCCACAGTTGACAAGTCTGTTGACGACCATGTCCCCACTGCCGTCCAAATCGACGTGGCATCGGTCCCTTTGGGGGCCACCGTAGATGACAACGGACTCGTGATCGGCAAGTGGAAGTCCGACATCTTTGGATGCTTCAACGACCTTGTGCCCAACTGCTTGCTGGCCACGTTCTGTCCGTGTGTGTCTCTTGCTCAAACGTTGCACCGCATCGGCATGTACACGTTCAACACAGTGTTGATCGTGTTTGCCGGTATGTACCTGCTGTACCTGGTGTTTTACATCCTCCAATGCTCCGCGTCCTCGAGCATTTCCTTCAACAGCATGGGGTACCCCGTCGTGAGTGCCGCCGCGACCTTTTGGTGGTACATCGCCCTCGCCCTTCAGATCGCCGCCTTCGTCCTCTTCATGGTCATCCGCATGCGGGTGCGCAAGGCGTTCCAAATCCCCGGCACGCCCCTGGAAGACTGCGCGTGCTCGTTCTTCTGTTCGTGCTGCGTGCTAGCTCAAATGGCCTCCCACACCGAATCGTTTACCCCCAACCAATGCACGTTCAGCCCCAAGGATACGTTGCCAGGCTATGAATTTTAAGTTGTGTTCAAACGCAGGGCCACCGTAACCAGGTTGACGACGTCGTTGCCAGTCCTTGAATATACTACTTCGTACATTTAGTTCAGTCATCCCCTGACGTTTGCACTCCTGAGACAATATAGCCCAAATTTGCTTGGCGCTGTGGAAATGCTCTTATTAGAGCATATCCAAATCTCCACCACATTCCAATATATCTTAGGTACTTAAGTGCACGGGTTCTATGTTAGAGCCATTCCACCACATTGCAGTAATTTGACACTGCGTACTGCTCGGATAATGCACCCCAGTATTTTAATTGTGTGAAATTTCGCACCGCAAAACGACAAACACTAGCCTGAAAATCACCATTTTCGAATGGGCACCTACTATATGTACTTGTACGTTATATGCACCACTCGAATTTGTTTCGAACTGTTCTATACTACGTAATATATCTTCATCACAGCATACCGTATTGATTGGAAAAAAGTCCAACTTGAAGGGGTAATGAAGTGTATACAGTACGATGATTCAAAACTGAATATTTTTTCAAAAAATTCAAAAACTCGAGTGCGTCTATAGTTTTTGTTTCTTCGAATCAATGTGGTTTTTGTTCCAATCACAATGGAAATTTACGCATTACTACGTAGTACAGGACGTGAGCACTACGTACTAGTATAACGTTAGTGAATACCTTGACAGTGAAGTAAGCTTAGCTGTGAACGTTTCGGACAATTCCACCCACTCGAATTTGTTTGGGCACCTACTGTATGTATACACTTCATTACCTGTTCAAGTTGGACTGTTTTCCAATCAATACTGTATGCTGTGATGAAAATATATTACGTAGTACAGAATAGAACAGTTCGAAACAAATTCGAGTGGGTGGAATTGTCCGAAACGTTCACAGCTAAGCTTACTTCAATGTATTCACTACAGTATACTAGTATGTAGTGATGTAAGAGGATCTCAACAGCGCCAAGCAAATTTGGGCTATATTGTCTCAGGAGTGCAAACGTCAGGGGATGACTGAACTAAATGTACGAAGTAGTATATTCAAGGACTGG